GGGGGGCGTTGCCCCTCCAAAATCATGCTGCAACTTTTGTGTCAGCAAAATTTGCCCCTCAAAATGCAGGAAATAGCCTGTCAAAACGTATAGATTTCAAAATTTTTAAGAGGGAGCATGTCCGACTTCTAGTAAGGTCGCGCCCTCGACACGAGGTTGGTGAGCAGATCTCGCCTCTGACATAATATTAAGAGTTGCAACAGATCATAGTAAATGTAAACATCATAAAATCATGGTCAGAATGAACTGGTATTGCATCTTCTAAAGCCTTATACATGTATATGCAACTTGTTATGTTGTATGCTCATTGCCTGGAAAAAGAAGATCATACATTGAACAAATTACATTGAAATATAAGTTACTATAGTTGAGAAATGTGCAATTCGGTAACAAGTGTGAAAATATTTCACTTTGCACCTTGGGCACCTTTTTCTTGAAAACCTTTCTCCCTGCAGTAACTTGATTTTTTGGAATTTTGATTTTGATTTAAGACTTCTACAAATTCAGTCTTGCTAGAAGGCGCACTGTTGGAAGGTGTTATAATTAAAAACAGAAGAACACTCACCTAGCATAATTAACCAGCGTCAACAGCGTGGTTTCTAACAATTGCACTATGGGTAAAGGTCCTTCCACTCGTAGCAAAGGAACTTTAGGGAAAACAACAGACCCTTCAGGTATAGCATACATTGTAACCTGTGAAAGATCCATGTCTGACAGATATTGAAAAAATCCTTCTTCAGTTGACGGGGGTAAGATTGTTCTTAAATAATCAATATCTGGGGATATAATGAAAAAACATGTATATTGATGACTGCTGTATACTTTTCAATGTGCAACTGACGTAAATTTTTTGAGGCTGCTCAAACGAGCTGAGAAAGTCAAGTTCAGTCACTGTTTACAAAATAATTGATAATAACCTGTAGCCATTTGGAAAAAAAAACATGCAAAATATTTCACAAAATTTGGGCCAGAAAATTAATGCAGAGTTTCTGTCACATACATAGTCAACTGGACAATCCTAAAAGTCGTAATCAATTCTCAATTTGAAACAATGATGGGAAATTTCAATGAAGTGTGTATCGCATATGGAGAATCAAAGGTCAGAATTGTTGTTTGGTTTTCCTGGCAACCACTTTGGTCAAAGGTACAACCATGAAAATAAATCAATAATATTATCAATAATACACATGGTTTATTGTTTTATTGGATTTATTCTTTCATTTCTCAGAATGGTTGTTTCGCTGAATAACTATTTTATTTTTTTATTTCAACCCCTGTAGATTGAAGACCAAACACAAGTGCTTACATAAATATGACAGAGGTGTGCGCTTAAATAGAGAATATACGCTAACACATTGCCCGCTGAATGCTTCCATAAATAGCCACAAATTTTATTTGCTTATTTGGTCCAAATTTAACAATAAAAGAAATCATAGGAAAATACATGAAAATTTGCAAAATGTAATTATTCGATGAAAAGATAATAAGATAATTTCAAGGAGTAAAGAAATGGATTTATCAGATTTTTGGTGACAAGTATGTGATATACAGTTTATATGTTTTAATTAATCGCATATCTTTATCAGATTGTATGTACAGCCTTTCAATGCACTGTCAGATTATTCTGATAAGAATCAATACTACAGATCTTGTATACATCATCTATTCAACCATGGCTTAAATAATAACACCCAATCAGAATGATGTATTCAGGCAATTTAAACGCTAGTAGTAGTATAATACAATTTGTTTTTTAGCATTAATATTCCGACTCTGTGATTGGTCCCAGAAATGTATGAGCGTTAATTAATTTGTTCCAATTGGACATAATTTTCGATTGACTACAGGTAATAACATGAAAGTTGATTTTCAGGATTTGATAATTGAATATGGTAATTTAGTATTTTTATTATGAACTCCCTAAGCCTGGTATGCATTTTTGTGATGAACTCCCTAATCTTGGCATATATTGTCATAAACTCCCTAAACTAAAGTTTATCATATATATAGAAATGAGCTGGTAAGTGCCTTGTTCAAAAACGTGAAAACAAAAAACAAAAAAACCTGAGATAAAACCACCAATTTGCTTTAATATTCATAGACATGCACATCTTCCAAATCATCTGATCATAGCAAGCCTTCAATTGACATAGCATCAGCCCCCCCCCCCTCCTCCCAATCTCCACCCATGTGACACCATTATCAACATGTCTTTCGCAAACATGATCAAAAGTAAATGTGGCAATAGACTACTGTAGTTGTCATTCAAATAAAATGTGCATTACAATTTTTGGTATATGTTATATATTCAAACAAAGCCCCAACAGGGGATATTTAATAATTCTATGATTTAAAGGGTTGTCGCACACGACTTATTTACCACTTCCGTGTCACTGAGAATGTTCTAGAACCGTACTGTGTCTGGGTGGAATTTTTTTTAGAAACTGGTTGAATGGGTAATAGAACACTGTAGGAGGCAATAGAAGGTAATGGAACATTCTAGAAATTTGTAGTAAGTGCCAGACTCATTATGTATGCTGATGTAATGGTCTATTTATAGACAGTGGAGTTACATATAGGGGAGTTGTTCAGCACTGAGTTCAGATCGGAGATCTCGTTGAATTGTATTGGAGTTTAAGTATCTAGTCATTGGAGTAGTGGAGTTTTACCGCGTTATTGTACTTGATGTTTGTAGAGTATAATAATACCAGTACCAGTTGAAACCTCATCTGTTGGCTCCGTGTTTGTATGTTATCATCGCCACCAGGGAAGTCTTTTTGTTACTGTTGCCATTTTGGTATTTGAACCATCACACCTGTACTATACCAATTACGGTAATATTACGTTGCGTGTGACAAGGGTGTTGGTTAATTGTCACACCACACATGCACCAGATATCGGTCTCTTATAAACAAAGATGCGATTTTGACTGTTGCGCACACCAACAATGTACAAACCGACAAGTTACCAAGCTTTAATTCAGTATTTTTTTGTGATTTTAGGGAATCAAAGGAGTCAAAGGTAATTAGTGCAAATGGTGCCCAGGGCAAAGTTTGTACTTGTGATTGCATTATGAAATCGCACTGGATTGTGGGGAAAACAATGTTTATCAACACAAATGTCGCACATGCGTGGTGCAACGATTATTGTCCTTTAATTAAAGCACGGTGGTCGTCGCGCAGCGCGTGTTCGTATTTCATGTAAATAAACAATGTATTTTACAGGCGTTGCATACGTCACTATGAGTCCCATATCGAACAGGACGCGGCACGACGACTGCCGCCCTTTAATAATGACCATAGGACACAGTTACTCAAGGAAGGTTACAATTCCGAAACTCGAAACCCGAATTAAAAATAATATGACAAATCAGGGAAAATTACCCGATTTTGAGAAAGTGTAGTTGTTAAAAAACTTCAGACATTCGTGTAGTCCGGCGAAGATCGTGAACTCTCCTCTGAACGGGTTTTTGCGGAAGTAAAGATCAAAAACTGCGTGGTCAGTTCGTTTTTCACTCTTCCAGTGGGCATATGCCATTGTAATCTGATACAGATCTGTAAGCAATGGTTGTACCACTCCATTCTGGTCTTGCCCCGTGGACAGTGTGCTGAACGTACGACGTATTTCCCCCGGCTTGTGATCAGAAACTGTCCCGTCAGCCATATTTATTTATCCACACCGACAAAACTGCTCAAGTCAGCACCACGGTCAGCAGCCAAAATAAGCCTACCTGTGGTGAAATGTAGTCGTACATTCATAGTTTGTGTGTTCGAGAAAAAAAATTTATGGGGTATTACAACTGTGTTGACAACAAATATAATATGCAGAATTCCAGATAAACAAATGTGATACACTACTGTATTTTTTCTCAGTAATTTCAATAAATTAGATTAATTATTTATATAATACGAATATTGAGTTACAAATGCATGGCAATTCTGCGAAATTTAATTTGATTTTGCTGAAAAAATGACTGCAAAGCACGAGGTGAACGTACTGTGCTTTATAGCAGTCAAACATGCTGGTATACATAGTGCATCTTGATTCGGATATGGTTGTCAATAAATCGGGTTTTAAACTGAGTTTTCAGCTCATAGGAAACAGTCTATTTTATACAACCGCGGGGGTCACCTCAATTTTAAGATGGGGGCCTACTCATGAATAAAAATACCCAGAATTAATTAATTTTCCAATAAATTACACTTCCAGGCATTATAAGGATATTGGGACTCACCACCTTAATTTTCGAGAAAATTGTGGTTGTAGCCATTTTGACAGTATTATAACGTTTTATTACCATAGGTTCCTAGTATAGCACAGATTTTATGCCATGTCTTAGATTGTAGCCTTGTTACATAGGCTGAAAAAATAAAACATTGTTAATAGTGGAGTTTTTATTGTTGACCTAAATTATTTTTAAAATCTGGGATTTAAGAAATATCAAAAAATGTAATTTTTCCTTAACATTGTCATTGAGCTATATGGGTTCATTACGGGAACAACGCGCTAATAACCTAGCCACAAAAAAAAACGACTTGCTGAGGCAGTTACTCGGGTGCGATAAACATGTCGACGCCACGTGGAGTTTGTTTACTTTTTTTGGATATGGGTCGTAAAAAGTTGGATAAGCTACATTAGAAGGCAATGCCTGAGACAAAATACTCATAAAAACGTTCTTACGCGTGGAACTATTTTTGTTTTTCACGATGTGTTCTTTATATACTCTATAATTATGACAATAAACATATACTGTTGAAAATGTTATTACCAAACGCTTCAGCGTGGTATTAAGAGTTTGTTTTCAGGGGTGGGTGATACCAAGGTGGGAAATGGATGCACATATGGGGTTAATTCCTTGAATTGCAATATAGAGGGTTCAAGCTGAAATACAATATATAGTGTTTTCATGTTTCGTCTGATATTTCTGTGGTATTCTGCTGCTGTAAGTAATGCACGATTTGTTCCGAAATTCAGTATATTGTGTGTATTCCAGGGTTATTCGTTTTTTGCTGAAAACACCCCTATTTTTTTAGTGGCAGAGTCGAATAGTCTGACTCCCACTGGGAAATCTGCATTGTTGCTTGAATGTGAGTTAATTAAACACCTTTTCCAGACCGGCGAAAGAGTATACAACAGCCAATTTTAACAGCCTGTCACGTGATTTTAGTCTGAATGTCAACATGAAGAGGCTAGTCCATTTTACGCAGGAGTAATTGGGAGTAGAATATGTGAGGGATAGTATCAACAGAGATGTGTATAGTGAAAAGTAATATCTATCCTTCATTTGCATCTCTGAGCATTTCTGTTTTAGTATATTGGTTTGAAAATGTTGAACTTGCATGATTTGCAATGTGTTTTTTTAATGGGACTCCCCTATTGATCGAATCCCGGGTTTGA